GCTCTTGCTCAGGCTGGTCTCGAACTCCTGAGCTCAAACGATCCGCCCACCTCGGCCTCCTAGAGTGCTAGGATTACAGGTGTGAGCCACCATGCCCGGCCTTCAGTAATTTTTAAATGCAAAGAGAGTTTATGCTAATTATTTAGAAAACAGAGAATGAGAGAATATATGCATTTTAACTATGGTTCCTTTCAGTCTCCTTTTTGTCCTATGCATAAATTTTAAATGTAATTAGAGTATTAATTATACTGTGCAAACAATTCTGTAGCTCATTTAATATATCCGTTTACAAACTGTCATTTTTTAATGACAGCACAAGTTCATTCAGTGAATAAACTATTTTTGTTGACCCAATAGTTAGACATTTAACTTGTTTCCAAAGCTCAGGATTATATACAGTATGATACTTTGATTCATAGTATTTATCCATAAAGTTCATTCAGTGAATGAATTAATGTGGTTGACTCTCCTGTTAAACATTTAACTTGTTTTCAAAGTTTTAAGATTATAAACAACATTTTCATTTGTGGTTTTATCCATAAAGCTTTTTCCATGTACAGGATTATTTCATTACACTATACTACCCAATGTGAAATTACTGCGTGAAGGAGTATAAACATTTTTGAGGTTTTTGATACATGCCTTCTCGTTTTCAAAAAAGAGTACCAATTTATACCACCTGTAATCTATTGGAGCATCTGTTTCAATGTAACCTTCTCAGCACCGAGTTCTATGGTTTTATTTCTGCTGATTACACAGATGAAAACTACATCTCATTTTATCACATTTCTTTTATTACCAGTGCACTTTCCCAATGTGGGTTAACTAGTTGCATTTCTTATTTGGTGTACCTTCTATTCAGCCAATACTGTTAAAAGGGGAAAACTCTAGAAATTTAGCTGAAGTATAAAAATATAACCATTCTGATATCAAATTCATCACTTTTAGTCCTGGAAAAAGCTATTAAATACCCAATGTATCAGCTCCCTCTTGTCCAGTCCTTCATAACATCCACTGTTCCTTTACTCTATTCCTACTCCAAAGCTTAAACGATGATGGAAAAAACACTATAACCACGTTGTCTTCCCTATGGGCTCATCAATTCTAACTACAGCTGTGTCCTTGCTCAACCGCCCTTCCATTCACTATTTAGCCTACTCCCTAGCCTATTTTCAACAAGTGAATCCTTCCAACTTTCCTCAAGGCTCTATTGTCCCAAATTTCCCCTCACTCCTAGTAGGTAACTTTTCCTCCTACCTCCCACTGAAGGTAAGACATTCAGTGAATTTCCCTAACCTTCCCACACATTAAAATTTCTCTATTATTTTTTACTATGCTTAAATTTCTTTATTTAAAAGATTGTCTTTTAGCTGATGATTTCAAATCATTTATATATTGTAGTTCCATGAATATCACAAATGGAAGTACATATCTATCTATATGATGATCCAGTAGCAATAACAATGATAATAATAATAATAATAATAGGTACTTTGCATTTTTAAGGAAAGGGTGATTTCTCTCTTTATGTTTTTTAAATT